TGAACCATCCAAAAGTAATATTATGTCATGTTTCCTTTGTGTTAAGTCTAGGAAATATATAATAAGAATTGAATTGTGAATATTAAATTTGTATTATTTTATTTCTTTTATATTTGAATTTTTATAAATAACATTTGTAAATTTTTATTGCACTCTTGACTTACCAATGTGTTGTACTGTTTTTTCTTCCCTTTCCTTTTTTCTTAACAAAAGAGTTGTCATTGCTCCCTCTACTTGCTGTTGGATATTTGGCAAGTAAGTAAAGTTATCTACAGAGAATGACTTTTTTTCAGATGAAATTTTTTCTATTTCATTATTATCTGAATTTTGTGTCCCTATTCCAATTATTGTCACACCTTTGTTTTTTAGAATGTTGGCTGGTTCTTCAGTATTGTCTTTTGATTTTCCACTTGTGAGCATAATTAATATTTGAGGAATTCCTTCGGTGTGTCTGCTTCCAGAGGAGGTTACAAATATATTTTTCGTAACGTACCGTAATGCAGAACCTGTGTTAAGGGGCCTGCCTCCTCGGTGGGTGAGGCCTTTTACGGCATTTAACACATCTTCCTTCCTCGAGAATGAATTTAGATAAAAATTAGCAACAGGTACATTACTGTATTGAATTACTGAGATTCTGTCATCGTTAACTCCAACGGCCAGCTTTGCAATAACATTGTAAATAAAATCACGTATGGCTTGAAATCCTCGTCTAGTATTGTCTGAGCCATCCACAAGAAAAGCAATATCCCTTTTCAGTCCTTTATTCCGATCTGGAATAGCTGAACATTAGAAAACAACAGTTGGCATAATTTACAAACACATTTCAATAAATTTTATATAATGTCCAGTGTCAAAAAATATTTGTCATTTTACAGTCACAAAATTGAATTTAAGAGATTAAGCTGCCATTTTGTGAAACTTAAACCAGAAAGCCTCCTTACCATCAACTCCGATTACTCCTTTCGGTTTTTCTTCTGCTAGTTTCGCTAGTAGGCTCTCTTGAATATTTTGCAAATTATACAAATCAGGAACTTTATATGCGTAATCTGTCTGTGAAGCTATGGCCTCCATTTCAATGTTATCTGTTAGTCTTGATCCAATGACATAAATTGCTACTCCAGCATTCTTTAAAGTGCTTGCAGGCCCTCGAGGAGAGTCTCTTGATCTCCCACTTGCCAATAGCACAATTATCTGCTCTGCATCTTCACTCTCTCGACTTCCATTTTTGGGAGTCAGTACATTGTCTATCACAAATTGAAGTGCTAAGCCAATGTACTGTGGTCTTCCACCCTGTGGTCTGAGATTTTGTACAGCATTTATTACTTCATCAGTGGATGTAAAAGTGTTCAGATTGAAGTTTGTCACTGCAGTGTTGCTGAACTGCACAACAGCAATTTGATCCTTGTTATGACCAATATCAAGTTTATTCACCAAACCGGCCAGAAATTCTCGTATTGCTGTGAAACGGTTTCGAACATCATCGGATCCGTCAATGAGGAACACAATATCTCTTTTGGCAGTCAGAGTTTGGACTAGAATAAATATGGTACAATGCTTTGTAAGTGACACAGTCATTTCAAATTATGTTAAGATACTACTTACCATCAACATGAACTGCACAGCAAATGCCAACAAAGGTTAAACTATACTCACTAGAAAATGTAACCTGCTGATGATAATAACATTTCTTTCAAATGATTTGACTGATTTAATAATTTTATATTTTTGAACACATCTAGTAACCTTTGAATTTTCCAAAATATAGACATTATTTATCAGCATGTGTATGGATCAGATATGCATTTGCCTATATTGTCTTCTTGATGGAAAAATGGTTATGCAGAGTTAGAAGTTATAATTCTCTATGTCTCAAAGCAATATTTAAACAGAGTTTATTAGGCAAAGATAAGTATGCAAGTATGAAGACAAATCTAAATGAATTTAAATGTTACGTTTTATCAATTTAGAATTCTGAGATCTGCCACTAACGTAGAGTTAGTCTCAGTCAGCCAGGAGAAACTGTTGGTTTCCTTTGTAAATTGTGAAGGGTATGGGTAAATTTCATCACTGACACTTTAACACTTAAAAATCCCAGGTTTATTACATATTAAGGCTTGTTATTCAGTAACTACTTCAATGCAGAATGGCTGAGCTAAAAGGTCTGCCAGCATCCCCTGGCCATTTAACACCAAGGAAGTGTTATTCATGGCCAAATCTATAGCATCACTGGTAAGGAACACAGTGTGCTATGTATATCAACATTACAATCTGGACAACTGTCACTTGAATCACTATGTTCAGTACATACCGAAATAAAAAATCACTATTAAAAAAGGACTTTCTGATCTTGTCACACATTCATATCGCTGCTGCCGGAAGAAAACCTTGTATCTCCATTTTTGTCATTTTTCAGTTTTTGACATAATTTGAAAATACCTGTTGCTCTTTATATTGTGTAAATTTAATGATGAATGGACCAGAAAAAACGACCCAAAATGACTTGGAAAAATTCTGGTTCCATTGACTTACTTTAAAAGTAAAATATGTTTTTTCCTTTTCGTGTAAAGTTACCATTTTGGAGATATGAGGTTTTCTTCTGACAACAGCGATATGTTTATTTGCCATAGTTTGATGTGTGTAGTGTTTTGTTGGTTGGTTCTGACCATTTAAATGGTTAATTAAGTAAAGTTTTAATATTTTAACATAATTTATCTGCAGTTTTATTACAAAGGAAACAGGGAGAATATCCTTTAAATTCAGAAGCTCAGAGTTTTGGATTTAATCTAACAAACATAAATATGAGACTGTACATTTTCTCCATTTTGGTAACACTGTATATAATAACTTTGTTTAATAAACCAATGTACAAATGTTTATAAAGGATAGTTCATGTAGTTGTTGATGTGTGTATTCATATTTATAAATGCTGTATATGCTGTTTTTCCATTCATAACAAACCCATTAACTAATAAACAATGAGCTGTACAACAATATCAGTGCATGTATACAAATCACTGCTGGAAATTACTGAAATATTATTTTCTAAAAGTCACATGTGCTTTATATTTTTTCAGTCTAGAATGTACGTACGATTATATCTTATTGCTAAATAGTTACATAACTTATGTGTAAAGCTAGTTAAACTAGTTAAACTTCTTAACGGATGTGGGTAAAATATCTGCTTTAGTTGTCGTCCTTTTTGCAGTTTGCAGTTTTTGCATGTTTCTAAAATAAAGATGAGAAGTGCCTGAAATGAGGCCTGAGCAATGTACTGTTGAAGTTTCTGATCCCATTTGGTGTCTCTCTCCAGCTGATCTGTTAACAGAAGTTATAACTTAGCACATTAATTATCTAATTACTTAGCTACAAGATATTTTGTCATCATATGTACACACTGGACAAAATATAAAACTTCTGTAACTGTCAGAAAGTTGTACATTTCAGTAATTTGCTGCAGTGATTTGTTTACATGCATTGATGTTGTACAAGTCTATTTATTAGTTATTGGGTTTGTTGTAAATGTACAAAAAGACACCATGTACAACATTCATAAATATGAATACTAACATCAACAAGTACATTAACTGTCATTTATAAACATCTGCACATTTTCACATTCTGATTAACTTATGATTTGTTCACAGCTTTTAATGGTAAGTTAATGGTTTATTAAATAAAGTTATTATAAAGTGTTACCTATTTGGGTATAGCCTTATATTATCTTAATTAATCAGGATGCTGTAAGTAGATTATGTTCAAGGAGAATTTATAAACAGACAACACAGCTGAGATGAGTACTCAGCTGAGATGAGTACAGCACTCAAATTCTGCATGCCCATGTTTGAGGATAACTGATAAAAGAGGCTAAAGGTATCAATACCAAGGTTTGACTAACTTGGCCTTATGGCTATATTTTATTTATTAATTGATTATTTTTTAATTAAACAGATGTGGATTTCTGAATGAAAATGAAAAGATTATGAATGAAAAGATTAACAACAAAAGATCTTATTGCAGTCTCTTAATAAGAATCCTTACCCTCTGATGTTAAAAACGGCTCTTGAATTTCTTCACTTCCATTCACAACATTGGCAACTCTTTGGTAAATGTTGTCAAGGTAGTTAAAGTCAGGGATGGAGAAGGCATGTGCTGGTGTAGAGGACATAGTCTGTAACTCCAAAGTATCAGCATTTGTTGTCCCAATGGTAAATATTTTTATTCCCTTCTCTCTTAATGCCTGCGACACACCTCTGATATCATCATTTGATCGGCCACCACAAAACACGTACAGAATCTGAGGTATACCCTCTTGATGTCTTCCTCCTGATGATGGAGTGAATATATGGTCTCTAATAAACTGGAGAGCAGCACCACTGTTCTGTGGCATTCCTCCTTTATGCTTCACAGAGCGTACTGAATCCATTACATCATTCTTGTTTGAATATGAGTTGAGATAAAAGTTGGCTGTAGCATCCTGACTGTACTGGACCAACGCAACCCTGTCACCATTTTCCTCTATATTGAGATTTTCAATAACCTTTTGGACAAAACCACGGATTGCTTCAAAGCCATTTCTAGAGTCATCAGATCCATCCACAAGAAATGCCACATCTTTTTTGTCAGATTCTGGAACAAAAAAGTGAATACTAGATCTCAAAACAGAAACATAAGCAGGTCCCCTTAAAGTAATGCACAACCTAACAAAATATGGTGCCTGATTGTGTCATATCAAATGAGAAATCTCAAAAGACTATTACCAAAAACTGGAGGAATCATGGTTGGCACTTGTTTTATTGACACCCCTTTGATGAAAGACAAAACATCCTCAGAAACTGTGGAAAGTTCCTCAAAGTTAGCAACGAAAAAATTATTTGGTTGGTGGGATACGGTTTGTAATTCAAGGGTGTCAGCATTTGTTGTACCAATACTTAGTGGAATAACTCCTTTTTCTTTCAGGACTTTGATTGGGCCTCTAACATCATCCCTAGACCGTCCAGCACTCAGCAGAATCAAAATCTGTGGAACATGCTCTAAATGTCTGCTTCCTGAGAGGACAGTGAACACATTGTCATTCACATATTGTAGGGCTGCTCCAGTATAAAGGGATTTTCCGCCTTTATGCCTCAATCGTTTTACACTGTCAGTAACCTCCTCTCTTGATGAATGTGTATTCAAAAAGAAATCAACAGTTGCGGTGTCACCGTACTGAACTACAGACATCTGATCCCTGTTGTTCCCTATGTTCAGTCTCTCTGCCAATAACTGAACAAACTTTTGCACACTTGAGAAACTTCTCCTTGTGTTGTCTGAGCCATCAATTAAAAGCACAACATCTCTTTTCCCAGAATCTGCTGTGAGAAGGAAAAAATGCATGTTTCTGAGGAGATGACATGATGCAATGCTCCTAACCATGAGAGGTTTTCCAGATACAGTAAGCTTTTTTTGTACTTGAAAAGTACAAATTAAAAGTCCTTATCCCCTCAAACCCCATTTTTGTCACAGAGATGTTTCTACATTGCGGTGCACACACACACACAGGAAATTTATAAAGTTATATTTAAGTAGGTAAAGGCGTCCTTACCTAATGTAGTCGGTGGCAGCCTCCTTGGCTGACGAGGTACTCTTTTCACATAGGACATAAGTTCCTGCTCAATATTTTGAAGGCCATCAAACTGAGATACAGTAAAAGTGTGACTGGGAGTGTGTGATATCATCTGAAGCTGAATTATGTCTGCAGTTTGAGTCCCAACACTGAATGGCACAATTTTTTCCTGTTTTAGTGCTGCTGCTGGACCTCGAACATCATCTTCGGACCTCCCTCCAGTTACCAGAATAAGAATCTGAGGAACACCCTCTAAGTGTCTGCTTCCAGAAGAAGTAATAAAGACATTGTTTTTAACAAAATCAAGAGCTGCCCCAGTGTTAAGGGGACTTCCTCCTTGGTGCTGCAGGCTTTCAATTGAATTGAAGACATCTTGCTTTGAGAAGTGTGTATTTAGGAGGAAATGGACCCGTGCCTGTGTGCTGTACTGGACCACAGACACACGGTCTCTGCTCTCTCCAATATTAAGTTTATCCACCATTCTTTGAACAAACAGACACATGAGTGGAAATCCATCCCTAGTGTTATCAGACCCATCCAGTAGAAACACAACGTCTCTCTGTGCTGCATCTAATTCAACTGGGATACAAATAAAAATGCTTCATTAAAATGTAAATCTTATCAATTAACTGGTTTCTTTTATACTAAAAAAAGTATTAGATGCAATATTATTTTCAAAACATTTCACAGTTTAGTAATGGAATACTATAGTATTGTAGTGTTAGAATAAAAGATGATTGAAAATAGAATCTTCAGTGCAAATAAATTGCATTAGAAACCATAGATTTCTTCCTGACTGAAATCTATGAAGGAAATCGAACAGACATGCCACTGAGGCAAGCAGAGATTTCTGCTGATGGAGTACCAACAATGATTAAGAAATCATTGACTCAAGGAAGAGTTTAAGCTGAAGAGAAGTCTTCATAATATCAAAGACTATACCAAAGCAGAAAAGGAACCAAATCTGTGGGAAAATTGTGGAAATGCCCATCTAGAAGGAGTAAAAGAGAAGAACACAGCCAAAACGAAAAGATCTAGGAGCAAAGCTGATCTTGTCAACAAGATCTGAATCCAGGGAAAGGCTGAATCCATTGAATGACCTCAGGCAGAATTTTAAAGACACTAAGGTGATCCATTGTTTTTCTTCACATCCACACATCTTCACATCACATCCAGAATAATCACAGCACACGTTTGGTTGTAAAAATCATTTTTGAAAGGAAATAACATTTCTTACCAATAATAGTAGGGGGCTCAATTTCCATTTTGGATTTGATAAAAGAGAGGATTTCAGGCTGTAGTGTTAAGAGTTCACCAAAGACTGGTAGATTAAAAAGGAATCTAGAAGAATATGCTATTAACTCAAGCTCCCTCTGAACTGCATTCTTCATTCCAATGGCAATGGTTAAAACTCTAAAAGCTTTGAAGTCTTCAGCAGGTGCTGCCACATCATCACTGGACTCTCTGCCTGTCATTATTATTAAAAGTTGAGGAACTCCATTCTTGTGTCTGCTTCCAGAGGCAGCGGTAAAAATGTTGGACCTTATGTACTGCAGTGCTGCACCGGTATTTAGAGCCCTTCCACCCTTGGGTCTGAGGTTTCTTATGGCAGATATCATATCCTTCTGGGTCTTATGAGTATTAAAAACAAAATGCACCAAAACATCTTCACTGTACTGCACTACAGCAATTCGAACGTGGTCACTGTCAATATCCACAGCCTCAGCCATTCTTCTAATAAACTCACGGATGGCGGGCAGTCCATTTCTGGAGTCATCTGAGCCATCAAAGAGAAAGACTATGTCTCGTTGGTTGTTTCCTGCTTCCACTGAGGTTTCAGGAGAGACAGACAAATGGATATCGAAGAGATTTTTGATTCAACTAATAAACTGAACTGTAATGGGTTTTAATATGTGCAAGAAGAAAAATGTAAGAGCAAAGTAATGAAATTAGTAACAAGAACATCTCAAAAACTAAATAGTGTAAGATTCTGTGGAGAGCAGCATATGGACCTGACCGCCAAGAACAAGGACTTTCTTGGATTGGACATCTTTTCACAAGAAAACGTGTCAAGTGAAGAAATGACAGAGATAAGAAACTGTTATGCAAACACTGACATTCCAAAAGGATAACCTCAAAGTCATTTTTGAACCACATAAAAAATTATGTAATGTTAACATTGCTCGTGCACAGCTGAACTCAAGGTGCAGAAAAAAAGGCTTGAAAAATTTGCATATAAAGTGAAGGCTCTTACCAACTGTGTCAGGTATTTCAGTGCTTGAAATAGCCGCCAGATCTCTGGAAACACTCTTTAAGGATGAAACCAGTCGTGGCTCAACTTCGTAAAGGTCATCAAAACTACTGACCTGGTGTGTGAAGCTGAGTTGGAATGCAACTGTGTTCAATTGATTTGGATCTGCATTTCCCACACCAATGCTCATTGATACTACTTCAAGATCTCTTAGAGCCATGGCAGGATCTGTCACTCCATCACTAGATGGACTACTACTTAATAAAATAAGTATTTGAGGGACTCCTTGAAGTCGTCTGCTCCCAGATGAGGAAGTAAAAACCTGGTGCCGCACAAACTGCAGGGCAGCTCCAATCTTTGCCCCTCTTCCACCCTTGTGTTTTAGAACCTTTATGGCATTTAGAATATCCTCTTTCCTCAAATAAGTATTGAGATAAAAATTGACTGTGGAATCATCACTGTACTGAACCACAGAAACTCTATCTTTGCCCTGCTCCACAGTGAGTTTTTCCACAACTCTTTCAACAAAATTACGAATCGCAGAGAAGCCATGTTTAGAATCATCAGAACCATCCAGCAGGAACACAATATCTTTTGCTTTCGCAGTGGCATGAACTAAGATACAACATAAAAATAAAATACTTTTAAAGAACAGAACAGCACAGCCTCTGGCACAGAAAAATCATACACTGCAGATCGTGGGAGCACATTAAAAAAAACTGCCTTACCTTCCTCGAGAACAGCCACCAATTGTTCCTTTGGTAGACTCACATAGCTGTTTAGCTTTTGATGGACTGTGTCGAGCTGGCTGAATTCCTTTACGGTGAAGGCAAATGATGGATTGTGAGAGATGTCCTCAATCTGCTTGGGATCTGCATTTTTCACTCCAACGCCAAAAGGTACCACTCCTTCAGTTTTTAGGTCACGAGCAGGTTCCTTAACACTATCCCTTGATTTCCCTCCTGTCAGAACAATCAAAAACTGAGGGACATTTTTAGATGCTCTACTGCCATAGGTTGAAGACAAAATGGTGTCTTTCATGAATTTTAAAGCAGCTCCAGTATTCAGACTCCTGCCACCAGCTGGGGTAAGCCCTCTAATAGCCGTCAAGACTTCATCTTTGGTATTGTACGTGTTTAGGTAGAAATTAGGCGATGGTCTGTCACTGTGCTGGACAACAGCAACCCGCACTTTATCAATACGAACGTCAAGCGGCTCAATGACCTTGACTATAAAGTCACGGATGTACCCAAAGTCTCTTCTAACATCATCAGAGCCATCTATCAAAAAAGCAACATCTCTTTCACCATCTGAGGTTGGAGTGACTGGAGTTTCAGGAGCTGTTGAAGAGGGAAAAAAGCAACATGCTAGTATATTGTGGGATATATAATGTACAAGGTATATCATAAACATTACTGAGATATGGAGTAACTCACCAGGCTCGCCTACAACAGTGATGAGTGGTGTCATAATTTGTTCAACAACTGTTGGCAACGTAGCAAAGCTCTGTTCATAGTATGCCAGATTTGGAACAAAGGCAATTGTCCTCAGTTCAGACTCTGCCGCCTGGCCAGCTCCAACAGTAAAGGTTAGGACTCCAGCTAGTGCTACTTGGTCTGCAACTCTCTTCACTTCATCTTGAGATTGACCTCCAGTGATCAGTACCAGTACTTGTTGGACCCCCTGACTTCTTCGAGAACCAGCTGAATCTTGGAAGTGGTTGGCGAGAGCAAACTGAAGTGCTGCTCCAGTGTGCACCACGTTTCCACCGATTAGTTGTAATTGAGCTATGCTATCAAGCACATCTTGTTTGGTGCTGTAAGTATTCAGATAGAATACTGTTCTCTGTCTCTCAGCAAACTGAATCAATCCAATGCGCACTCGTTCAGGCCGCACATCTAGCTGGTTGACTATGCTGGAGATGAAGTCTCGCACAGCAGGCAGGTTAGCATTTCCAACATAGTTGGATCCATCGACCAAGAAGACAATGTCCCTGACTACTTTCTGGGTCAGAATAGTTGTTATCTCAATTTCTGTGTGAAGAGAAATTGCAATCAGCATTACACCCTTAGTTTATTTCCCAAGCATAACTTTTATATCAAGCATAATAGTATATTTCACAGATAATGGCTTTTTACAGATTTGCTAAAATATCTTACATTACACTAAAGTTTATTTAAAAACTACATTTTACATTCCTTGTAAGAGTACCTGGTTCAGTTGGTCCTTCTGTTACAACAACACCTGAAAGTGTAGACAGTGGAGATACAATCTGTTTGGGGTTGCGCAATAAAACACGGAAGTCCTTCAGCATAAAGACCAGGCTCTCATCAAAAGCAATCTGCTTGAGTTCAGCTTCATCAGCCGCCTTGGAGCCAGCAGCCATGGCCAGAACACCCATTCGTTGTAGGGCCTCAGCTGGTTGTTGGACACTGTCTTTGGACTTTTTGCTGGTGATCAGCAGAACAAGCTGTGGCACTCCGTCTTGAATGCGACTGCCTTTTTCAGGTGTAAGCATGTTGGTCCTGACAAATTCCAGGGCAGCACCAATGTTGACATCAGGTGATGGTCTAGGTTTAATTCGTGCAAGGGCTGAGATCAGGGATTCCTTCGAGTCATATGAGTTCAGGTCAATCTCGAGCCTTGGGGTGTTGGAAAACATAGCCACTCCAATTTGCACTTCAGAAGGTCCAATTGGCATAGTGTCAATGAATTTTCTGATGAACTCACGCACTGCATTGACGAGGGTGGCACCCATGCTGCTGTCAATGAGAAATATTATGTCCCTCTTCGAAACAGCCAAGGCTGAAATGAAAAAGACCAATAACAGATATTACACTTTTGTTCCCCTATGGACTTCAGCCTAACTCAGTTGGCTCATAAAAATATGTCAGAGCTTAAAACTGTTCATTAGATGCAGAGAAGTGTTAATTGCTAATGTCAAAGTTATCACTTCTTATATTTTAGGTCTTTTAGGTCTATTAGGGCTCTCTCAATCACCTCATTATTACTAAGTACTCCAGGGAACTGTTAGTGTGTCAGACCTTTGCTTCCAAATATGCCAGCATGGTGATCGAGCAAAGATGAAGCAATTATTTTGGTGTGTATTTTGGACTTAATTATACATTAAAAGGTCCTATTTTAATTTTATTCCCTTATTGCCCTCAGCTAGTTATGTTTGTTATCAATTAAATCACATTTTGTCAAACACCTTTTTTTTTAAACCAAATTTCACTTTTCCTCAACGAGGCCTGCACCTGTTTATTGAATATGAATTTGACAAGTGAACGTTTTCTATTAACCATTGTCTGCATTATGCCTAGTTGTTATTTGTTATTTTTAGTGTAAGTTTGATCCCAGATCTGGATCACAACAACCTGTAATTTAAAATTCTGACCTACTTAAAAATACTTTTCCCCTAAAACATGCTATTGTGGGATTGTTTATGTTTAAATAATAAACAAAACAAGGTAAAGGTGTAAATGTGAAAAAGACTATTTATAGTAATACGTAAATCTTTACACAACTTGGTTGCCTGAGTTTGTCAATAGAATGCAAACAGACATTTATATGAGAGAAAAAACAGCTACTTTACTTCATTGTTAACTTTAAGGAATGTTCCTGGAGCAAGTAATGATTTGGTCCCTTGTTTAAAAGGAAGTCTGGAATTTTAACCAAAAAACTAAAAATAATTTGACAAAGACATTAGGGACCTTTGTAGAGCATTTGTTTTCTAATGTCATCCAGGTCATCTTCAGTTTGAATCCTAGCCACATTATATATATATATATATATATACACACACACACATATATATATATGTATATATATATATATATATATACATATACATATATATATATATATATATATATATTTGCCTTTGCAAGACATTTTGCCTCTTGTTTATTAATTCTGGCAAGTGTAATCTGCAGGAAATGCAGATTTGAAACAAATGTATGGAGAGAAAACACTTCCCATTGGCAGTAAGTTTCTTTATGTCTGGGTGGGCTGAATCATTTGTAAGTTAAAATAACTCAGTATCTTACATTTAATTTGTTATTTTCTCATGTCACAGGTTCAACAAACTAAATCTTGCATGCATCTTTTCCTAAACACTGATATTAGTGCTGTTTTACTTGTGTTAAGTATGCTTTAGGACTAAATCTAAGATTTGCTTTTTATGCTTTTTAACTTGATAAATGTATTTTAATAGTGTAATTTATATGTACTCCCCATTTCCATACACATTGTTTTATTCATGCATGTGCTTTTCTTTTAAATGGTATCAAAGCAATTGTCTCTTCATTTTGATTTTTTTTCTTTCTTCTTCTGTATTATCAGCTGGTATGGCTTTACAATTTATTACATCTCTGTGATGTACTAGACCTAATGCTCATTGTTTTGTGAAATGAAGAATTGTAAAATGGAGAGTTCCAGTTCTAAAGTTGATTTTTATGCTTTAATAGGTGCCATGGGTGCTGCTTTGCGTCTAACAATACACCCATGTGCACACTCATGATCAAGTAGGCAGAAAAGCAGCTAGAACATTATTTGTACAGTAATCTCATGTTGCTTCATGCAGGTGCATAATCATATACTGATCACAAGAAAACAGGCAATCTTTACCTAAATAGAGGTACACACTGGTGTTGCAGGCTTGCTGTTGGACAGCTATCAAACATTAGAGCCAAAAATATGGAATTGCATACACATTAATTGAAAAAGAATTTATGTAAGGGTTGGCAACTCGCAGGAGAGTGAGATATCTCTCTAAATATTCTAGCGGGTAAAATTAGGCTTTTGTAAACAGGTAGTGAAAATTTTCTCAGATTTTTCATTTGCATCCATATACTGAAAAGGCCAGCTCTGGCTCATAAGTGTTTTAGTGAGTTAGTGGGCCTCCATGAATGGTGTTCTATCCCTCCAGTACAGCTAGTACAGGTAGAGATCTGTAGAAATTAACGTAATTGATATCAATTCCACAAATCTCTTTACCTGTTCTGAAGGGATGGAACACTTTTCTGAAAAGATGTTACCTTAATTGATGTTTTTATGATGGTAGTGGAGAGTACTGCCTAATCCCAATCCTGGAGATTTACTGCCCTGAAGAGCTTTGCTCCAACCTTAATATAATGCACCTGATCCAGATAATCCAGGCCTTCAGGGATGTCTGTTAGAGTGTGTTGGATCTAAACTCTCCAGGGTGGTAGATCTCCAGGACCAAGATTGAGCACCCCTGGTTCTAGCACACTGGTCTAAAATCTCGCATAGTGTTCAACTGTGTTAAAATCTGGTTACCCTTCCCTCCCAAATGGACTCAAATCATGCCAGCATGGCCCCACAGCAACAGAGCCACCCAACCCGCCCAGTGAAAGGGTCAAGCGTTCAGGCCTATGCTGTTCTCTTGGTGTACACTACACATGCCCACTTGTAGAGAAAACAATGAAGGATGACCCATCTAACCTTTACAGTGCTTATAACAACTCTATAGACCTACTGTACAGTACTGTGCAACAGTCACAGCCATTTCTTTTTATTTTCCAGTCCAAATGGCCATTAAGTGTAAGTTACTCATTTTCAAGAAATATTTCTGAGGAGAACAGAAACAAAGAAAATAGGTGAAAAGCAGCAGCTTTTAACTGGCATTCAAAAAATGCTCAAAATATACAGACAAAATGTCTCTTCTAACAATTGGACAGACCTGGTAGACACCAAAACTGTCACCTTTAGATAAACAGCACTAAAAGCTTTCATCTTTGAGAGAGAGGAGACAATCAAGCTGCTTCAGATCTGAAAACATCCACAGGTGTTTCTATCCATCCTTCCACTGTGAGAAGACGACTCAGCACTGTGGGTCTGAAAGGATGTGTAGCTGATCAAGAAGAACCTCACTGAGAAAAGGAGACGGACACATCAAACAAAGAAGCTGAACGATGGACTGACCACCCCAGAGTCCAGACCTCAACACCACTGAATGTGTTTGATTACTTCAGAAAATGATCAACCAGCTTCTAAGACTGAACTTTGGAGGTGAGTCTGCAGATTCTTTGAAGAACTGAAAGTGAGTCTCCTGGAAAGAATGGAAGCTGGAATAAAGGGAGAGAGTGACTCACTGAACACTGAATATTTAGTTGTTGAGGCTTCTGTGGACTTTTCGGACAAATACTTTCCTAGGGCTGAAAAATTAACTTGTACTTAATGGCCATTATGTCTAGAAATGTAATAAATGAAGAACTCCTGCTGCTGTGCAGTACAGTTACTGTGGATTCACTGTTCTTGCTGACACAGTCTGATCTTCTCCTGCATTGACACTGACAGCCACCTCTGGAACAGAGGCTACTCTGTTTTTCCTTTCAAGCATATCGTACTAATGCAGAAGCATCGCTGTCACTAAATGTGGGCTTTCGACCACAATTTATAACCGTATTTACTGATGTCTTTCCCATATAGTTAAATGTAAGCATACTTTTTTCTATTGAAACTCAAGGCAGTGCAGCAGTCTTTGGGAATGAAGTGCCTGTCATCTCCCCCCAATGATAAACACTCAAAGTAAGATCTTTTCCTTTTGCCATCATGATCTAAAATTAAACTGTTCTTGCTTAGCATTTTTATACATGCCACAGAAAAGGGTAGGGTTTCTTCATTTATTCAGGTCATCCTATAATTTGTCATCCATCTGGAGTTGCTACGATTGCCAAGCAACATAATAACTTGCAGCAGTAACACAGAATTCAACTGAAGTGCATGGTTACATGTATGAATGTTGCATTATTTAGAATTTCGAACATGATTTAACCTGTAGCCATAGTCTACTGCTAACAAGCTACATTACTTGGTGGAAGAATTATTGTGATTAGTGCTACTAATAAATTACAACATTTATGGACATTTGGTGTATTTTATCATATTGACCTTTGTTGCTTTTTGATAAAAGCAATAAGTTACTAAAAGCTACTCTTTAATCTGAAACACTTGTCCGGGACTATTAGTTGTGGTTTCTTGAACTTTTCACCTGCATATTATTGAATCATTTGTTCTGACAGGGCTTTAAAGGAGGGATGAACGATACATCAGTGACCGATATAAAGGATACATGGAAAAATGAAATGATTACTGTTGGTCTGATATTGAAATTGTGACTGATAATAACGACTGAGAACATGGTGTTCTACTTATAGCTTGTTGACGCACTGAAGCTTGTATAGAAATGTGTAGTCACTTGTGGCGGGAATCTCCATTCTTCTAGACCCCACTGCGCCCCCTGCTGGCTGCTCTGAGTTTCTCTGTAACAGCCACTAGTAATTTATTGAAGGGAATTTTGACAGAAAACAGAGTAAATTCACTGACTATTGTTACAAATTATTTTAGTTTGTTAGTTCATGTGAGACACGCAACGTTCAAGACTGTGCAGATAAAAGTAGCCTATTTCAGATGTGAAGACACAGCACAAGATTTTTGGTGACCAAGATAGCAGCGACGATAGTGACGCAGGTACATGTGAATATTTTTAAATTGTGTTTTGAATTGTTTACATAGTTAAATAAGTGATTTTACGTAGAGCGAAGCCAAATTCATGTTCTAGCACTAAGTCCAGTTCTATCCTGAGTGAAATTACGTTGATAAGCTAACACAGATCTCAGCCTCAAACTGACGGTTTGGTGACGGATTCCAGTGTTTGATACGAACTTAATTTGCATAGATTTCTAAAGGCAACATTTCATCTCCACACAAACATGGTACGCTAACCCTATTAGCCTGTTATTTCTGTGTTCAGGTTCATCTCAGCTGTAGCTAAGTGAGTGACTGAGGATGCATAACTGTTTCTTATGTTGTAAATGACTACATCTATTCACTTACTGCTATGAATACCATTAGATAAGCATGTCTGATTAATAACTAAATATATATGTACATAAAGTAAATTTTGATGAAATTAAAATATTTAAAATGTTAAGGCTGTGATATTGGCACTACAATACAGTGTTGATTATCAGTTATCGTACTGGACCTAGAAATTCTATATTGCATTTTTTTCAGTCTTATTGCTTCCAGTGAAGCTTGTGTTTAAACAACTCTCAAACTAAATCTAATACAAACTAAGAAATTCTGAAATTTATATTAGAATTTCAAAGATTTTAACTGATTTTTATTCTATTATAACTTGTGATGAATAACTCTGTATTCAATTAGAAATGAATGCAGAAGGGAAGCATTTTTACTAGGGCGCTCAGACTTCGCCAGTTTTCATAAATACAATAGTGTCTGAATATGTTTTTCCATATCACTTTTGTTTTGTAAACATATCTTTATGCTTAAGAATGCATAAGGCAAGTAAGCAGTTTTTAATCTGAAGCAGTATTTGCTGAACTTGCTATATGTTCTGTCATCTTTAACCAAATAATTGATTACATTTCATGTTTTGAACACGTGACACACAATATGTATTATTACATATTATTTATGGTATTATTTAAAGTTCAGTCAAAAGTTCTTTAATTTATATATATTTAGATTATATTGCTGTAAAGGAAGTTTTTATGTACTTTCACTCTCGCTTCTGTTTGTTTTATTAAAGCATCAGTAGCTGTAGTGAGGTGCTGTGATCATCTTTCATTTTGCTTGTTCATTTATTAAAATTCACTTGTCATCACTGCTCCAAAAACCTTCCTTAAAGCGATAATTATTTTAGGGTTTTACCCTTACCTATGATCAATCATGTTGTGATATATTTTTATTTAATATGATTAATCTTTTTGAAAACAATAAACACCATGAAGTTAACAAACACTCAAAGCAATGGTAAAAACACATTGATTACTTGTTCACATTTCAGTTTGGAATCCCCTTCAGCATAATTACATACCTTCTGTGAACTCAGTCCGTATCACAATGCTGCGCTGGGCCACTCCCCTAATATATGGAAGCAGCTGATCACTCATATTTGCCACTGTTCTGACATCAGGGGCAGACAGAACAAAGCTTCTGTCGGACGCGATAGCCTGCAGCTCGGCACTAGCTGACTCGCCAATGGCAACACCAAAGGTGTACACGTTGGCCTGCTTTAGTGCCCTTTCACCCTCACTGACATCATCAGTGGACTGCCCAGCACTGATAATTACCAAGGCCTGGGGCACCCCTTCCTCTGCCCTGCCCCCTGCCTCTGGGCTCAATAAACTCTCGGTCACCTGCTCCAGAGCTGCCCCCAGATTAGAATCAGCTCCACCGATGAAATTAAGCCTTTGTACAACATTCCGGATGTCCCCTTTGTTGTCATAGCTATTGAGATAGAGCTTTATCTCTGGGTCAGCACCATAGATCACCAGGGCTACCCGGATCAAGTCCCTGCCCACATCAAGCCCTTCGATCACTTGGAGAGCCAAATCACGGACGAGAGGGAAGTTGGCAGCTCCAACGTTCTCTGATCCATCAATTAAGAGTACAAGGTCAGTTGATTCTGGGGCTTTGAAGGAGAGAATGAGAGAAAGAAACAAAGAAAGCAAATGCAAAATGTGAGGGTTAAAAAACGAAAGAGAAGGAAACAAGAGCACGCACATGACTGCACAGTCATGGATATTCACAGAGCAGTATAAAACACAAAAACGTCATTCTGCATGTGGACTGAATAAATGAAGATGCTGATTTATTTTTCTTCCTTTCATTTTTTGGCCAATTCTGATCAATCGTCTCTTCTACAGTGTCCATATTGTTGTTAAAGCCACAATCAGGAGCTGGACTTCGCTAGACAAAACAAGAAGCTCTGTGTCCAGAGATTAGTCAGTGGACTTCCTGAGGGGAACTCCTGATTTTCACTCACTCGAAGCTTCAGGAGATTCGATGTGCAAAATAAATTAAGTTATTTTAAGCTCCCAGCCTCAGAGCTCAGATGAGTATCCCAACACACTGCAAAACCAGTAACACTTCCTCTGAATCCTGTATACATAATTCATTTTAATTTCATTTATGAGCCGTTATGAGCTACACATAATGCTGAAGCAATGCTATTCAAACTGCCTGCAAATAGCGAAGACTGTGTTAATAGCGCCTTATTAAAATATCACTTTGCTTTGCAACTTTGCAAAAAAAAAAAAACAAGTATCCCCGAAGTAGTAACTTTACAGGAGAGTGCAAAAGCAGTCTTTACTTTCAATGTGAGTTAATGCAAAGAGAATTTATTCTAAGCGATTTTTAGAGCATTTCTATTGGTCCATTCATCTTAAATTTTCACACAACGTAAAGGACAGCTGCTATGTTTGAATGATGTACAAAAATAAAAATCACAAAAAATGGAGATACTTGTTTTATTTATTTATTTATTTATTTATTTATTGGACAGTGACGGTAAAGAAAAGGTTTATTAATTTGAGCATGTCAATACTATACACTGCACGTTCAGCTGTCTAATGATGTTGCGTGAGTGGCAGTTTGAAAAGAAGCGGTGGTGCTTCACAGGTCTCGGAGGAAGCCTGTGTTAGCCTTCGCCCTTCTAGCTTTGATAGTATCGTGTGATTGGGGGAGTCCTAACTAGCGGGTGGAATTGGCGGCGACTAAATTGAGGAGAAAATTGGGTTAATAAATAAAAAAATATATATATATATAAAAAAAAATAATAATGCTCATCTAGAAGCAAAGTCATCATTGTTACATTTAAAATATGCACCTTTGCCCATAAAATTAAATCTTTTGTAGTGGCATATAATATGCAGTACAGTAGATAGAAATATGAAGTGTTACTGGTACCTGTGTTCTCTATGTTTCAGTGGTTCAGCACTCAGTAGGCAGCTGTCACATCCCTGACTGTGGCTTTAACATGTACAATCATTTTTCCAGAAGCCGATATACTAACTTGGTTCCCACTTCATATTACACTGTTTGTAGCAATTATATATACTTACACTGTACGTTAGGTAGCTAATATGTAATTAAGCACAATGTGCAGAGGCAATATTCCACCTTTTAATTGACTCTTCAGCACTTTTATTTCTACATAATGTTCTCACCGCAATTCCTACGATTTCGGTCAAAACAGAAAAGTCACTACGACTATGACTGTGAGACAACAATGTAAAGTATATAACTATAGTTCATACTTCACTTTTTCCTTATTGTTCCTCAAATAAATGTTTCTTATATCAGAAACAAGCTGCTTATGAACTTTAATTATTCTGAAAACAAGCTTTTCTTTATTATGTCCTATTAGACCATTATGTATGTTACATTTATATAACTGAATTTCTTAAACTGATAATACAGAACAGCTTATATCACAATTACCCTTGGTTACATGTAAACATACAGATATAACAGATATAACAGAACAGCTTTGTAAAACGGTCTAATCTCTACCACTGTATATTTACAACCACTCAGAAATCTATTAGAACACAAACACGGCAGAACAGAAGCACAAAAGTAAGATTATTTACATGCCTGAGTAGCACAGTGTGCCTAATACTGACAACATAGATATATAATTGTTACTAACCATTAATATAAAGTGGGATCCTGAATCATCATGTTTAAATTGACAGTTTGCTCTGGGGTCCTGAAAGCTCCTCTGCTAATGTGATCATCTTCATCTGTATTCATTCACACCATGCAGACTCATGTTACAGGATCTGATAACAGTACCAGTCATGACCCTCTGCTTCATCTTTACATTAAATCACACACTTAACAATATGAATTCACAGCAAATGAGGAACTAACTTAGTTTCCTTTGTCTGCTCTACACACGTACACATTTGTCTTCTTTTTCTCCCTTATATTTATTTATTTAATGGAAAGATAAAAGCAAGGAGGTTCATCACTGTATTCAATTGTATTCACAGTTATATTAAAGGTACCACACATACAGAATAAGACACTGAGCTTACAAGACACAAGCTGTGGTGGGGTAGCCATAATCAATACAGTAGCTGCTTTGAACTTGTACGGTCTTTTGTCTGTAAAGTACAACGTGGAGGATGTGGCTTCCGTCCTATAAAGGATCCAATTTTTGTGGTAAAATGTGGATAAATAGATGAGAAATGGGAAAGGAGTGAAAGCTCAGACAGGTAGGCGGATTTCTCAGTGGACTCAGTGATTCCTATCATTTTAGTCAATGCACTAAAATGACAGATGTATTAAACACTAAACTAGCATCAATGTGATGTTTCTCTGAATAGGGGCATCACATCATTATTAAAAACCAAGAGCTATCAATGACCCAACATGCAAAAAATATGTGATACTTGAAGGAAAAGGTGATGTTAACAGTGGAGGTGAATGGTTAATAAGGGTTATTTTTGTCTGATAATTGCCTGAATGGTACTTATAACTGACACTGGACATTCCCAAGGTCGACCGTAACTGTCAGAGAACACACCAGCATTAGAATAATAGGGAAAAAAACCTTCTCAATTTTTTTTTGTATTGCTGAACTGGTTTTCATTATTTATTTAGATACTCAGTACTTAATTAATACCAACAGTGATCACTTAAGTCAAGCTGGACACAAATAAACTCTAACCCCGTTAATTCAATCCTGGGGATTTTGCATTGATCCAGTTTGCTGAAGGGCCACATCAAACACAGGTCCCTTACTGTGATCTTTCAACACAACACAACACTGTCCATTACTTTCATACCACCCAACGGTGTAGGTACTGTTACATATGCAGATTCTACACTCTAGAATTCTGTCTTTTCCACTCCGGTGTTTCAGAAAATAGTCTACCATTAATATGAACCAAAACGTTTTAAACATTTGTTTTAATGTTATTTTAAATGATCAGTACCAGTATTGTCACTGTATCTCAGTGAAGCTGTAGGCTTTTGAAAGTTGGGTGATTTGGAGTCCTCTCTGAGACTGACACAACAAGGAATGAGAAGTTTTTGACAAGATACTCAACCTTCCTGTTAAATGACCACACTGTAGGTCAACTTACCATCCTGAGCTTCAAGTTTTGGGAGATTGCCAAAGAACAGCACACCCGTGAGCATGCACAAGGGCAACAACAGAGTTTTCGACATTGTCTTCACAAGCATCAGAAGACACCTGCAAAGGGAGAAAAATGCCATTAAATTCACAATTTACACAACACAAAATAATATACAAATAATCTAACTGGATTAGTCTGCATTGGATAATAAATTATTAAATATCTTTATGTATTACTGTTATGCTCAAAAACAAAAGTACTAAAAAAGGCACAAGAGTGTTGAAAACTTTAACACCCATTAAGAATGAAAAGATCTGAGAAATGCATGATTATGATGATGATTATGTTACTAACACAGTTGCCAAGTCTGCTTATTGTAAGCGGCGTATTTTTTTCTGTAAAATCACTTATTAGTAACGGTAAGTGCGGGTCGTTTTGGGCTTCTAAAGTGTAGTGGCTTGTTTGGGTTCCCTGATCCCGCCTCTGTCCCCTACACCCGTCTAATAAAGCCAGACTGCTGGTCTGTTGCACAATCGTCCAAAACCCTGTTCCTTCCTCACCTTCGCCACTCAGACCAAAACCAATCAAAGTCACATCCCTGACTGTCAATCAGTGAAGGAGTTTCTTTATCTCGCTCATCAACAGTGCCGGTGTTGTGCCGAAGTCCGACTCCCCGGCAGAATCCGACTCCCCCTCGCGTGCACGCGCCTCACGTAAACATGTGGACGTTACGGACTGCTCTCAGGATTTCTCAGGTTATTTCTGCGTGAATAACGCTTTATCTTTAATTTACCTCCACAGCGAACAACACAACAGGATCTAAAGCCAAACAAAGACTCTCACTGTGATGATTTAGTTTAATATTACGAAATAAAAACGATTGTTGTTGTTGCAGTACTTGAGAACGAGTGGGACTGAATGGCTTTCAGTCATGACGACAAGTGTTACGACACATTAAACACAGCTTTAAACCTCTGTCTGGAGCACTAAAGCTCACATCTGAGGACCTGACGCTGCAGTATTGGCTGACTAGTTTTACTTGTCATTATTCAGCAACCAGACTTTCACTGCTTGCATAGCTGGACAAATTAACGAATTAGTATCCATTACTGCATAAAAGAGTTGCCTATAATTAAAAATTGCAGTAAGAACAATTGCTGTAATGGTAGTAATTTAAGATTAATTTTGGCTGAAAAGTCTTCAGCTTTTACATAGTCAGAAGGTGTATTGTGAACCTGTCAAAATGATGCCCCTCATATCTCTGGGGATGCATTATGACTGGAATGATTAACTTGTTTTGCTGACTTCTGGTTCATAGATTACAGCATATAAAGCATATGTCTCTAAATTCAACAGGGGGGATTTTACTGGGGGGAGTAGAATTTTTTGCCAGGATTATTCTGACACCTGCCGAAATTACACTCATTCTTACTCTTACAGGTAAGAAAGAAAGGAGTATGAAAATTAAGTACGTAAAGCTGAACAAATTACGACCTGTCGCTCACGTCGATTCCACCACACAAAACAAGAGTCGTCATAAGAATAGAAAAATGATGCGTTCAGAATTTTTCTTCATGAGCAAACCTTTTATGTTATTAATGATTTGACATAAGTCAATAAATATGTAAATGAAATACAAGAAAGAAATAAGAAACTAAAAGATTAAAAACAAGCCTGACATTACAATGTTATTAATCAAAGGAACCTCATCAATTTCTACAAATCAGAAATCCAAATGTACATTGTATTAATGCTATAATATTCTGTAGAAAAAATACTGTAACAAAGTTTACTGTATATCAAATAAGGTGTCAGAATAATCCTGCCAAAATTCTACCTCCCCAGTAAAATCCCCCTTGTTGAATCTAGAGTAAAATGCATTTCAGGACACAATCTACAGCCCAGGACATGCTAGCAAAATAAAGGAGATGTCATTCAGACCTTGCAGTGCTGAGATCAGAGGGGGAGTGTAATTTCGGCAGTTGTCAAAATAATCCTGCCAAAATTCTGCTCCCCCAGTAAAATCCCCCCTGTTGAATTTAGAGACATATGCTTTATATGCTGTAATCTATGAACCAGAAGTCAGCAAAACAAGTTAATCATTCCAGTCATAATGCATCCCCAGAGATATGAGGGGCATCATTTTGACAGGTTCACAATACACCTTCTGACTATGTAAAAACTGAAGACTTTTTAGCCAAAATTAATCTTAAATTACTACCATTACAGCAATTGTTCTTACTGCAATTTTTAATTATAGGCAACTCTTTTATGCAGTAATGGATACTAATTCGTTAATTTGTCCAGCTATGGAAGCAGTGAAAGTCTGGTTGCTGAATAATGACAAGTAAAACTAGTCAGCCAATACTGCAGCGTCAGGTCCTCAGATGTGAGCTTTAGTGCTCCAGACAGAGGTTTAAAGCTGTGTTTAATGTGTCGTAACACTTGTCGTCATGACTGAAAGCCATTCAGTCCCACCAGTTCTCAAGTACTGCAACAACAACAATCGTTTTTATTTCGTAATATTAAACTAAACCATCACGGTGAGAGTCTTTGTTTGGCTTTAGATCATGTTGTGTTGTTCGCTGTGGAGGTAAATTAAAGATAAAGCGTTATTTACATACAGAAATAACCTAAGAAATCCTGAGAGCAGTCCGTAACGTCCACATGTTTACGTGAAGCGCGTGGACGCGAGGGGGAGTCGGAATTCGGCACAACACCTGGACCAGTGCTGAGCTCAGCGGAAAGTTGGACACAACTCCGACTAAACTCTGAGTGCCCGTTTATCGACACACCCACCACACAGAGACAGACGCTATGAAGTTCCGGAGAAAACAGATCCTGCTTTTTCTTTGCGGTGTTAAAAAGCACATAAATCTTATAGAAGTGCATGGATGATACTTTCTCTCACATAAACTGCAAGCTTAGCCTTTTCACTCGTGTGATAGGTTAAAGGTCACGTTATACGTCACATCTAGAATCCCGAGTTTATGAGTAAATATGAGTTTGTCAGCTGTTCGAGCGCAATTTACGGGGGAAAAATGGTATTTCCCAATTTTTGACACCACTCGAACACCTAACCCTCACCCAAGTTTTTTACAGGCTTCTATAGATCTGGCTGCTTGTTTCTCTGGTTTCTAAATCCCGACCATTCCTCTAACCTGCACGCTGCCTCTGATTTCTGAGACGAGGTAGAGCTTCAAAAATGAACAAACAAGGTTTGACTTAACCCTCAAAATATACCAACATCAAATAAATGAACATTTAACTGAATGAAAGCTGCTCAGTTTGAGCCAAACAGAATTCTAATAAAACCCAAATCAATTTTTGGCCTCTGTGTTGAGGTAGGAGAGCCTGATCATTCAGGCGGAACCGGCCTCAGGGAACGTGTTTCGCATCGAGCAGCTGTGACTGACGGAACAGGTATGAGCTGCTTGCAGCTGTGTGTATTTTTGTAATGTATTTATAACAAAAATAAAAGCGATTTTTTCCCCATATAAATTGTAAACATTCGTAATTTTACAGTCATCTCATAATATAAAGGTGAAAAAGTTCTCAGACGCAGCTGCTGAGCGGCCTGTCCAGTCTAACCGGACTCCAGAGGAGTGAACGGGTTAGTTATGCTGACCGACTGTGGACAAAACAGTATTTACAAAAAACACATTTTCATGAGAAATAAACTGTAAAAATACAAAACTTTCATTGCAATATAGAAACTTTAATCAGGTCACGCGTGCTGTTGTTTTTCTCGCCAAGCAGTAAAAAAACGAACAGCGTCATTTGGAGGCGATCAGATGGAACCAGAACACCTGCTGAACCATTAGAGTCCTTTACACTGTGATATCAGCCCATCAGGACAAACACAGAAAACCATTAGTGACTCTGAGACACCATCAGGAGACACTTTTAGTGGTTTCTATGTTTTTTTAGTGGGTGGGGGTGGGGTCTTTAAGCATTCTGCTAATATTAAACAATACATACATAAACTAACTAACGAGTTAACATGTCCAGTAAACTGCAATGCAGCATGACAGCATTTCTAGCAGATTAGTGGCTGGATAAACAAATGAATCGATGAAGCTTGGATGCCAGTGACCACAGGAAGAAAATAAAAAGAGTTTTCCTTAATATCTCTGTAATTTATTCTAAATTACATTGAGATCAGAAAGAAAGACTAAACTCAAACTACACTCTCATCTCTCCTTTCCTCTAAGGCTCTCTCTCCTGAGGAGTTTTGGGAAGATCTGCATTAAGCCTCTTGAGCCATCAAAGGGCAACATTTCAGTAATAATTTTTCTCTGCATAATATTGTGATATATAAATACACACACACACACACACACACACACACACATATATATATATATATATATATATATATATATATATACTTTTTTTTTAATTACTGTGTGATAAAAAAGTATGTGCCCCCTCCTGAATTCATTTTTTGTTTAAATTTGTCAACATTAGATCTCTAAGTAAATTTAATATAAGACAAAGACAACTTAAGTAGTGGGGTCTGAAATTTGAAACCTTCAACATTCACTGAAACTGTGCAGTTCTGAGACTGTAATCATAGACAGACAGACAGACAGATAGATAGATAGATAGATAGATAGACAGATGCACATAAATTAGGCAGAAAGCATTTGCCTGCTGTGTGTGGCAAATGTAACATCAACCCTGAGTTCCTTTGTCTCTTTTATCTTCCCCCTCACAGTTTTTGGGGGCAGTGTGCTCTTGTGTCCTCTTTTTGGCAAATTACTATAGCAACCACATAGCAACACCCTAGCAACCACCTGGAATACCATAGCGACCACACAGCAACACCCGAGCAACCATCTGGGATACCATAGCAACCACACACAACACTCTAATAACCACCTGGGATACCATAGCAACCACGCAGCAGCACCCTTGCAACCACCTGGCATACCATAGCAACCACATAGTAGCCCACCTAGCAACCTCCTGGGATACCATAGCAACCACACAGCAACATCCTAGTAAGCATCCCGGGATACCATAGCAACCACACAGCAACACTGTAGTAAGCACCTGAAATAATATATGAACCACTTAGGAATGTAATAGCAACTACATGACATACTATAGCAACTGCGTAGCAACACCTTAGCAACCACCTGGGATACCACAGCAACCACACAACACCACCTTAGTAACCACACAGCAACACCCTAGCAACCACCTGGGATACTATAGCAACCACCCAGGATACCATAGCAACCACACAGCAACACCCTAGCAACCACCCAGGATACCATAAGAACCACATGGCAACACCCTAGTAAACACCTGAAATAACATATAAACCACTTAGGAACATCATAGCAACTACATGACATACCATAGCAACTGCATAGCAACACATTAGCAACCACCTGGCATACCATAGCAATCACCCAGCAACACCCTAGCAAATATCTGGGATACCATAGCAACCACATAGTAACCCCCTAGCAACCACCTGGGATACCATAGCAACTGCGTAGCAACACCTTAGCACCTGGCAATCACATATCAATTCCCTAAAATACCACACCAGCCATCCAGCAACACCAGAGAACTGTTTCAGCTGTGCAGTCGTCCTGCAGCTCCTTCAGGAGCTACAAATAATGAGTTAACAATGCAAAACACAGATTATTGTTCTGTTAACTTACTAACAGACGTTCACTGAGCTCAAAATGTTGAATCACGAGGCAAAACACAACATTTTTACAGTGTAGAAAGCTGCTGTACTCCAATCATGCTGAGCTACTTCCTTATAAAACTCAGCGCAGAAATCTTTTTTGGTCTGGGTTAATTTGGTATTAATTTCTCATTGTTCTACCAAACTGCCAGAATGAGAGAGAATCTTTAAATGTGGGCAGAGCTGCATAAATTGTATGAGTTATAAACTTTAAGGCAAAGAAAAAAACCCTGTTAAAATTAAGGTTTATGGAAACACTGTGTATGTTACAAAGAATAGGACCAATGAATGACATGCTAAATGTTTATTATTAGAAGTACTAAACATCAATAAACATCACAGCACTTTTTTTTTGTTTGTTTGTTTGTTTGTTTTTGTTTTCTAGCCAAGTTCACACAGCTGATTGATTCTGGCCTTAAAATGCATTTCTTCACAAATCAACAATCCTCACTTGCCAGCAAATGCTTTTGGTTCAGGATTCAAGCCACAGTCATCATCCCATCACATTACTGCTCCCAGAGTTTCGTTACCAAGTTCTGCTGTGAAGACTTAGAGACCAGATTCATAAAACATCTCAGATTAGCTGATCTAGGATCTGCTCCTGTCAGTAACACCATCATAAATAAGACATGAATTTGATCCTGAGCACTTTTACTCTAAGGAGCTCTGTGAATACGAGCCCTGAACTTCTGTTTTCCACTCAACATTGACACTTAACAGAAGAGGTGAGCTGGAAAATCACAATGCAAATAATTTTAGTGATTTACTGATTGGCTGTTGAGTTTTAAGGTTAATAATGAATGCAAACTTCATCCCCAAACTGGGTTACTTTCAGACAGGAACTACAAATCTAATCTCTCAGCACTGCCCAGGACTCAATATCCTGTAAAACAAACCCGCAGGAATGAACACAAGCTGGCATCTTAGAGGGCAAAATAAAGCCGTCATTCAGAAAGGTTCATTTTTCAGGCCATTCACATTCAGCCAGAAAAAATATTAATCCAAAAGTGTTGTTTCAACGTTCCCCCTTTAGGTTTGATCATCAACACAGACATTCATATTAGATAAACACAAAGTGGATGAAAACTATGAAGATTTTCACAAAATTGAAACAATTTCTAAAACATTACACACGTCCTCAAATAGACTTTCTAACATAGCAGGAAATAAAACAGACTTTAAATATAAAGAATGATTTGTTTGTTGATGTAACACTGATTTCTCAATTAATCAACCACTAAACTTTGTTGAATTGTGCAAAACACTTTTTCCTCTCACACATTTGTTCCATTTGTTGCTAAAGATTTCCAAATGCAAAATTCCCAAGTGAAGAAGGCGGAATCTAAAATATGTTGGAATTGGGTTTAGTTGCTTGCCCTAAGCTACACATCAGGATTTAAGCGCCCCTACTGGGCATTGGCACCGTGACTCACCACTGCCCCCTGGTTGGCTTAGGATGGATTTTGTCTAATTTAATATGCTTATCCATCTCAAACGCCAGAGGAATATAAAGGAGAGGACTCAGTATGAGATTTTATTATTTCAGTTTGAGCTCACACATCTGAAGATATAAACAATTAACTCCTGTCAAATGAACAGAAAAACTGAGACGTGAGCACAGATATGTTCTTATAACGTTTTTGCACCGCACTGTAAGAATAATGGCCTGAATAAGCTGAATTCCGCTGGTTTCTGTGTTCAATTTCAGCCTCAAACATCTGGTTCTGCTTGACACGCCAGGACTAACGCTCCCATCTGGCTTAGGCTGTGGAAAAAATGTCTCACTTTGTACTGCCTCCTCTTTACTGCTCAGAGAGCGCAATTTAACCACCAACACAGTGCTGAGCAAAATGTAGCTACACAATGCAAAATGTTCACTTTTCTCCCGCAGTTAAAACAAGTTCACCAGAGCTGGTGGCTCTGAACTCCATTTTGCATAATAAATCCTGCTTCTTGCACCAAAAATGCTGCATTAGCCACTTGCAAGAAACACCAATTCCTTATTCCCTCTGCAAAATCTTCTGCTGCACCCAGAATTCAGTCTGACTCCTACAGATTTCCTCAGTCAGATTCTTTCATGGCTGGAGATACTTTTTTCTGGAATGTTCTACACTAACACACAACAAAACTATAATTATGGCAAAGTGACGTTTGCATCCTGTGTGCTACGAGAAAGCCGTGCAAACCAAGTATTATTCTGGGCAATGTATAAAACAAAGACAATTATTCTATACTTATTAAACGTCTGTTTTAGCTTGTTCCACTCGCAGCACTGTAAACTGTGTTTTAGACGACTTTTATCTCTGCAATATTAAACTGCACCGCCTGCTTAAAATAGTAATACATTTTTACTTACCTTGAGAAAAAACTTCTGAATTCCACAGAATTTTTCTGAGGTTTCAAAATTCTGCAAAATAACAGCTCTTTGGCCTCTAGGTCATTATCTTTCTGGGATTTCCTGTCAGTGAGCTAGAATGGATAAGTGAGCCCAAGTCTGGGGTGACAGACTGGATGCTGAGGAGCCGCTGTGAGACACTAGTGTCTCAGCTCGTCAGCACACCCAGCTATGAGCTCTCCAAAGGAGAAGTGGCACTGACTCCGAGCCTGAAACAAAACACACTCCCCAAAACCTGGAACGCTGCCACACATACTTTTTGTGCACCTCCTACTTTCTTATGGGGGGAGGAAAAGGAAAAAAACTCATAAAGGGGAAAAGACTGAGAGCAGCTCTACAAATAAGAAACAGACACACTGGGCAGTGAAACGGAGGGTGATGTCACAGACCAAGATTTACATAATCCCAGTTAGATTAACTTGAGATGTTGGGTTCCTGAACAATCCAGACTAAATGGTACCTTTAACCACTTAGTAGATGATGTGGATTTTAAGAGATTGTGCGATCTATAGAGCAGCCATGACATGGAAAACAGATTTGCTCTGATGCAGTATTGTAAATTGTAGCTGGTCATGCTACCAAAAATGCTTTCAACAGCATATACAGCAAAATGAGAACTCATATTCAAGTTGTAAACAGCAAAATCCATAGATAGATGGACTGTGATTTCTTTTTTAAACATGCTGTGCATGGAAAATGGTCCAAAAGCTCTGTGTTACTTATAGACATTGGTGTATGAACCATGAAAGCCAAGAGGTGGCAGCACTGCCAGAAATACCCAAAGTAGAAACTCCTCCTTGCTTTACACTCACTGTCCACTTTATCGTCTCCACTGACCGTAAAGTTTCACTCTGTAGTTCTGCAGTTACAGACTGTAGTCCATCTGTTTCTCTGCATACTTTGTTACCCTGTTCTTCAGTGGTCAGGACCCCCATGGACCCCCACAGAGCAGGTACTATTTGGGTGGTGGATCATTCTCAGCACTGCAGTAACACTGACGTGGTGGTGGTGTGTTAGTGTGTGTTGTGCTGGTCTGAGTGGATCAGACACAGCAGTGCTGCTGGAGTTTTTAAACACCTCAGTGTCACTGCTGGACTGAGAATAGTCCACCAACCAAAAATATCCAGCCAACAGCGTCCTGTGGGCAGCCACTAATGAAGGACTAGAGGATGACCAACACAAACTGTGCAGCAGCAGATGAGCTATCGTCTCTGACTCTACATCTACAAGGTGGACCGACAAGGTAGGAGTGTCTGATAGAGTGGACAGTGAGTGTACACAATGTTTAAAAACTCCCAAAAATGCATTTTTAAGGAAACAGTATTGTTTACCTGCAGTACAAAAATGTGAGTTAAACCTTGAAAAAAATAACTAAAGTTGAAATAAGTTGAATCGACATGTTGGTAAAAACACTATTGTTTCCTGTGGAAAAATAGCTTCTTAAGAATGGAAGCTCAGAAATGCACTTAAATCGTATTGTCTGTGGCTAAAAGTGACCTGATATATACAGTATCTTAATTGTACAACTCAGAACATCAAAACGTGTAAAAATTACATAAAATGTTCCCAAATAAAGTATTGATTGCTAAAAAGTATTAATTTTATGTACAGTTCATCACTGAACTTCATTCTCCAATATCTTCCTAAGTTTGTTCTTAAGTGTGTTGTTGAGAAAGATCCTAAGAAAAACTCTCCATCAGATTCATGATGTGTTTTTAAAGCGCAGAACTGTCCTACCTTTGTGCTCTTGAGTGTGTGTAGATTCTGTTCTCACCTAAGAACAAATCCCACACAAGAGAACATTTAGTAACGGTTCAAATGCAGAGTTCAGTAAACAACATGTAATTTCTGTGTAATTACTATGTACAAAGTTATACTATTTTGTAGTCCCGTTTCCAAAATATTGTCACAGTATTACAGAGAACTCACCAGTAAATGTACCAAGTAATATGGAATGAGTTACTGAAGTGGAATAAAGGTGCTCAATCTATTTTACTGTGTACTCCACTGTCACATATGCAAGTCTTACTGAAACGCTGAATCACTAAAAGCTGAAATACACCTATTGTTCTGACATTAGTTTCTCTGTACTTACAGATTGAACTTGCTAATTATGCATCAAATATTACTTGTAAATAGTACATACTTACTATTAAATTCTGAGTAAGCACCGTCATACATACATAACACTTTTCATACAGTTACTGGTTGTGTGCAAAGTATGTAGAAAATGACTTGTAAATACTACATATTTACCGATTAAATTCTGAGTAAGTGCTGCTGTACATTTCTGGTAGTTTTTAATGTAAATTTCTATGTACATGCAAAGTATGTGCCAGAAAAATACTTAAGTACCACATATTTACCTACTGAATACTAGTTACTTAGCATACTATCAAATAAAGTGGTGCCAGACTGTCTATCAAAACGGTCAACAGAGGGGAAAAGCATGAAAGGAACCTGGTCAGAACAAGGGCCGAAGCCCATTGGCCTGTCACCGGAGAGGCAACTCTGGGAGCTGGCATAGGAGGAGCAGTCCAAAAGCTGGCACTGGAGCCATTTCAGCCGATGGGGCAGGTGGAGGAAAAAATTAATCTATCAAATCAAATCACTTATTGATTGTCTACAACTCCATTTCCAAAAAAGTTGGGACAGGGGCAACAAAAGGCTGGTAAAGTTGTGTACTGCTAAAAAAAACACCTGGTGGTTGATTGGCAACAGGTCAGTAACATGATTGGGTATAAAAGAGCATCTCAGAGAGGTGGTGTCTTTCAGAAGTAAAGACTGCGAGCGACAGAGAGCAGCACACCTTAGAACTTCAGATCGAGCAGCGTCCAAACTTTACTTGAAAATTAGTTGAAAATTCTGCAGTTAGCAGGCCGCTAACCCCCTCACGCCTCTCCCTCTTATTTTGTCTTCTCCCCTCTCTCTTTCTCTATCTCTCTCACAGTTTTTCCCTCAGCCCATCCACCATGGCGTCCTCCCAGGAAAGCGCCCTCCGGACCCTGAGCGCAGAGTTGGCCCGGCTGGATCGGCAGATCACCGCCCTGCTGAAGAAGCAGGACGAGCTCCTTCGGCAGAAGTCGATGCTCGAAGCCGCCCGGGAAGTTTCCCCCTCGGTGGTGGCGCCAGCGTCGTCTTTCCGCGCGCCGGGAGACGCCGTTCTCACGCCAGCCCCGCATGGTCCCTGGGAACGCCAGCGCCGCAGAGGGCCCTGCAGACCCTCACCACCGCCCCAGCCCATCTTCGCCTCCGGAAACCGTTTCGCCGCCCTCAGTACACCGCATACGCCCTCACCTACGTCCCGGGCCTCCTCGCCGCTGCCCGCCCCATAACCTATGTTATTGGTAGTTCTATTGTCCGCCACGTTCAAGTAAAGGTTAGAAACACCCATGCCACTGTTTCCTGTTTTCCAGGTGCTCGTGTCTTAGACATAGCCAGGCGCCTCCCCTCGGCTCTCAGACGAAACGCCTTCGGGACCGTGGTGATCCATGTCGGGACCAACGACATCCTCAACCGTCGTAGCGAGGTCCTGAAGGAGCACTACCAGACGCTGCTGGACACCGCCAGGAAGAAGACGGACGCCAGGATCGTCATCTCCGGACCGCTACCCACCTACAGGAGGGGATCCGAGCGGTTCAGCAGGCTCTTCGCGCTGCGGTCCTGGCTCCGCGGCTGGTGCGCCCTCAACAGCTTGGCCTGCGTGGACAACTGGGCCTCGTTTTGGGAACAGCCGGCGCTCTTCCGGAGGGACGGCCTCCACCCTAGTCAGGTAGGATCTGTTGTTCTCTCACGGAACATCGAGAGGGCCATCCGCTGACTACACAGCGAAGGCCACGTAAGTAGCGGCAAAGATAGAAACGCTACAGCTCATAATGCTAGTGTTAGCACTGAGAATAAGACGATTATTAGCACCAGTTGCGTCAGACCAGTTGCGTCACCTAGCTTCCACTGTATTGAGACTGTGTCTCTGCCCCGAATTAAATCTAAATCTAAACGTAGAATAACTCAATCAGCCCGTTTCGACAACCTGATCAATATTAAATCATATTCAGATGATCAGCAACACCTCAACTCTAAAATTTGGGTTACTCAATATAAGATCACTAAACTCAAAAGCAGTAATCATAAATGAATTTATAAGTGATCATAAATTTGACGTTTTCTGTCTTACTGAAACATGGGTTAGACAGGATGATTATTCAGCACTAAATGAGGCCACCCCTGTAGGCTATAATTATGTACACAGCCCACGATTATCAGGCAAAGGAGGTGGATTATGTGTAATCTACCAGAATACCCTAGATATCAGTCAGAAACAATGTGACACCTTCACTTCTTTTGAGGTTCTCTCCATCAACGTTACTAATCCGGCCACAAAAAAGAAGGCATTTTCATTATTTAACATTTATAGACCACCAGGACCCTACACAGAATTTCTAAAAGAATTTAGTGATTTCGCTGCAAACCTAGCTGTGTGCAATGATAAGGTAATGATTGTAGGAGATTTTAATGTCCATTTTGAGAAGGCAAATGACCCACTAAAAAAGGCATTTACTTCAATCCTAGACTCTGTTGGTATCACCCAAAATGTAACAGGGCCTACACACTACTGTAGTCACACTTTAGATCTAGTTCTGACACTCGGACTTAACATAGACAGGCTTAATATCCTACCGCAAACCTCAGTAATCTCCGACCATTATCTAATCTCTTATGAGCTACATCTTAGCTATAATACATGTACGTCCCCTCGCTATTCTACAAAGCGCACAATAAACCCATTTACCGCCCTGCAATTCATAGAAAACCTCCCAGAACTAACAACCCTAGTCTCCACTCCATCAGACCCAATGGAGCTAGATGTACTAACCGACTATTTAGAAAATACCTTCCGATCCACTTTAGAAAATGTGGCGCCACTAAAAATCAAAAGGATAAGACAGAAAAAGCTCGCCCCATGGTACGATGATAAAACCCGTACCTTAAAACAAACAGTACGGAAACTAGAGCGGAAATGGCGATCAACCAAGCTGGAAGTGTTCCACTTGGCCTGGAAGGACAGCCTTATAGAGTATAGGAATGCTCTCACTAAAGCTCGCTCAGCATATCTGGCCTCGCTGATCGAGAACAATAAAAATAATCCTAGAGGACTGTTTAGTGTGATCTCTAGAATTACAAAAAATCAGGCAGGCACTGAACCACAAATTCCGGCGACTCTCACCAGTGAAGTTTTTATGGACTTTTTTAATAATAAAATCGAAAATATTAGACAACAAATTCAACCCACAGTATTAAATCCAACTTGGCTGTCATCTGACGTGGCTGATATAAAACACAACATAGCTGCAGAAGAAAGGCTTGAAAATTTCTACCCACTCCCACAGCCAGAACTAGAGAAGATCATCTCCTCTGCAAATTGTACAACCTGCACACTTGATGCAATCCCCTCAAAATTACTCAAAGAAGTACTACCAGTTATCATTAATCCTCTTTTAACTATAGTAAACTCGTCCCTTAGCCTGGGCCATGTACCCAGAGCTTTTAAACTAGCAGTTATTAAGCCTCTGATCAAGAAACCAAACCTTGATGCTAGCATATTGTCTAATTACAGGCCTATTTCTAACCTGCCATTTATATCTAAGATCTTAGAAAAAGCTGTAGCCCAACAACTTAGTTCATATCTACATAAGAACTACATATTTGAGAAATTCCAATCTGGATTCAGGCCACATCACAGCACTGAGACAGCTCTAGTTAAGATAACAGATGATCTTCTTGCCTCTGATCAAGGTTACATATCCCTGTTAGTGCTACTTGACCTCAGCGCAGCTTTCGATACGATAGAGCACAATATTCTCCTAGAAAGGTTAGAAAACATGGTTGGAATCACAGGGACCGCCCTATCGTGGTTCAAATCTTACTTAACGGAACGTTATCAGTTCGTACAGGTAAGTGACTTATCTTCCAATTATTCACAAGTAAGATCTGGAATTCCACAAGGCTCTATTTTAGGACCATTATTATTTACATTATACATGTTACCGTTAGACACAGTTATAAGTAGCCATGGCATTAACTTTCATTGTTACGCAGACGAAACGCAATTATACATATCAGCCAAGCCTGATGACAAATACAGGCTAAAGAAAATAGAGGACTGTGTAAAAGATGTGAAAGGTTGGATGTTGCGTAACTTCCTCCTTCTAAACATTAACAAAACAGAGGTTCTCCTTCTGGGTCCAAAAGTGGCAAGAAATAAATTATCAGATTTAACTTTAAATCTCGCTGACTTTCCAGTTATACCAGGTTCAGCAGCAAAAAATCTTGGTGTAATACTCGATCCAGATTTATCATTCGATCAACACATAGGCAGCATCACTAGGACAGCTTTTTTACATCTTCGCAATATCGCCAGAATAAGAAATGCCTTATCGCTGCACGATGCAGAAACATTAGTACATGCCTTTATTACCTCAAGGCTAGACTATTGTAACGCACTACTGTCAGGATGCACCAGCAGGAATTTAAGTAAACTTCAACTAGTTCAAAATGCTGCAGCCTGGGTTCTCACTAAAACTAGAAAATTTGATCATATCAGTCCAGTTCTATCATCACTCCATTGGCTGCCTGTTAAATTCCGTATTGATTACAAAGTTCTTTTATTGACGTATAAAGCCCTACATGGGCTCCTGAGTACCTGCAAGACCTTATTTCCCATTACGAGCCACCACGATTACTCAGATCACAGAGTGCTGGCTTTTTAATAGTTCCCAGAATTCAGAAGGTTTCATCTGGGGGAAGAGACTTTTCTTACAAAGCCCCCAAACTCTGGAATGATCTTCCAGAAAATGTTCGGGACTCAGACTCAGTCGCAATCTTCAAATCTAGGCTGAAAACTCACTTGTTTAGTTTAGCTTTTGGTAGCTAATGTTTCCCCTTGGATAAAGGCAGCAGAACCAGGGGTCCATGGACACAGGGAATTATAGTAAACTGAGACGCTGGTGCTGTCATCCCGCCGCTCACACGCGAACACTCAGGTTTGTGGACGGTGGAGCGGAGGGATGCCAGATTGTTTCAGGGTGCTCCCGTGTCTGTGTGCCCTTTTGGTTCTCTCCTTTTAGTTAAGCTGTTATAGTCAGATCTGCCGGAGTCGTTAGCCACACTCTGGAAATGTTTTACATACTACTATACATACACCCATACAGAAATAAACTAACTCCATTTCCCTACCTTTCTTCCGAGAAAACGACTGCCCACCTGTCCGGCCGGACACTGCTGGATGATTGTTTGTAGAGCTCTCCGGCTACCCGCTTCAGACCAGTTGCCCACAACCCAGTCACCGCCACCTGCCTTGGACTGGCTGCCCACTCTACACTGAAGTCTCCTAACTATTACTACCTCCTAACTATTACTACCTCCTAACTATTACTACTACTACTATTAATATTAGTAGAATAATAATTTTGTACGTAGTTTGACCAGAGGAGGATGGGTCCCCCCATGTGAGCCTTGGTTCCTCCCAAGGTTTCCTCCTCAGCTCTGAGGGAGTTTTTCCTGGCCACTGTCGCCCCTGGCTTGCTCACCTGGAGGATTTACATTTCATGTTGAAACTTTGTTCTAAACGGATTTCTGTGAAGCTGCTTTGTGACAACATCAGTTGTAAAAAGCGCTATACAAATAAATTTGATTTGATTTGATGAGGAGGAGTTCACCACTCTGTGAAAGACTGCACGATCAAACAGTGCAGCAATTCAAGAATAACGTTTCTCAACATAAAATAGTAAAGAGCTTTTGCTTCTTATCATCTACAGTACATAATAACATTAAAAGACTCTGGAGAAATCTCTGTATGCAAGGGACAAGGCCAAAAACCAGTATTTGCTGGCCGTGATCTTTGGGAACCGCTGTCTGTAAAAACAGTTCATCACTGTGTCACGCTTCCGGGTTCTCCTTCCTTGCCTAGCACGCTCCAGGACTCCATTTCCCATAATTCCAGTCCCTATGATGTCACCAATTCCTCCAATCACGTGCAACTGCCTCGTTCTCAGTCACCTGAGTTTTAATGCGATTCACCTGTGTCTGTTTGTCTCAGACTTTAAATAGTCTTTGGTTTGCTCTCCTCATTGCGAGGTATTGCCATTTCCCTGGTTTACTGAGTGTTGTTATTCTGATTTCTTGACGTGTGTTTTTGAACCCTTTGCCTGTTTTTTTGGATTTTGCTTTTTGTCTTTGCCCTTTTGCTCTGGTTGCCTGTATGTTTTTGTCTTTTCTGGTTTTTGACTCTGGCCTGGTTTTTGGATTTGCCCTGAAACTGTCTTTCCATCTTCACCTCTCTCATTAAACAGACTTTTGTTTTTAAAAGCGTTACACATTGCATCCACAAGTACAAGTCAAAACTCTAAAACACAAAGAAAACTATACATAAACAGGATCCAGAAATGCTACCACCTTCTCTGAGTCTGAGCTCATTTAAAATCGACTGAGGGGAAGTGGAAAAGTGTCCTGTGGTCTGATGAATCAACATTTGAAATTCTTTTTGGAAATCATGGACGCTGTGTCCTCCGGGCTAAAGACCACTCAGCTTGTTATCAGTGCACAGTTCAAAAGCCAGTATTTGTGATGGTATAGGGGTGCATAAGTGCACATGGCATGGGTGACTGGCATAATTAACGCTGAATGATATATACATGTTTTGGCAACATATGCTGCCATTCAGATGGCGTCTTTTTCAGGAAAGGCCTTGATTATTTCAGCAAGACAACATAAAACCACATTCTGCATGTATTACAGCAGCATCGCTCTGTATTAAAAGTGTCCAGGTGCTAAACTGACCGGCCTGCAGTCCAGACCTGTCACCACTGATAACATTTGGCGCATTATGAAATGAAAAATATGACAAAGGAGACTCTGAACTGATGAGCAGCTAAAATCCTATATCAAACAAGAACAGGAAAACATTTCACTTTCAAAACTACAGCAGTGTCTCCTCAGTTCACAAACACTTCTAGAGTGTTGTTAAAGAAGAGGAGATGAAACACAGTGGTAAACATGCTCAACTTTCTTTGGAACGTGTTGTTGGCATCAAATTCAAAAAGGGGATATATATTTTTTAAAAAACAAGAACATTTCTCAGTTTCTCAGTCAACAGGTTGCTTTCAACATTCTGATGCTGATCAAAACTGGTCTGAAAAATGTCTCTGCACAATGAGCTCCAGAACTTTCTGGTGTGTTTGCATTCTCAAATGCGAGGTGGATGTCGGGTGGGTTTGGAGATTTCAGCCCTCATTAGGTGGCCATTGCTTGTCCTGCCCGGTGTCTCTGAGCTGCATCTAATGTCACTTTGCATAACTGTAGAGGATGGAAACACGACTGGGCTTGCATTTTTCCTGCTGAAATTTCATAAATGCATATAACATTTGTCAAACTTTTGAACGGAAACCCGGAATAAAGAAGAGAGGCAAATCATGAGGTGGATGCAGAGGGAGAGTTTGCTGATTGAAAACCTTGGCTTCTGCTTTTCATGTTCAGGAGAAAGTGGAAGTAAAGCAGCACTGCCAAAGAAGAACGAAAGGCAAAAACATTATCAATTCAGTCTTGTCTTCTACTTTTCAGCAGCCACATTTTGCCTCTCCTCTTGAATTCCCTACTGAGAAAAAAGAGCAGAGTTTTGTCTTCCCACAACCAGGCACAGATGAAAGTCATCACTTTTTACTCACTGCCCTCCCCCACCCCCCTCTCCTAACCTCCCTCCAGTTAGCAGCCTGTACGTACGCCCAGCCCCCAACTCGGTTGGGAAACCATCTGGCCTAAAGCCCACTCCCTAACTCCCTATCCCTGCTTTTGCCCCGAAGAAGAAATCAGTTGCTGCAATCTGCACTGGACAACTTTAAAAGCCTGAAAAGCCAGAGACAAGTGGGTAATATGATTTCTGTGAAAGCCTGTTGGCTCTGTTCCGTCCACTGGACTGGACACTGTCTTTTCAGTAAGTTAAGTCAGAAAGCTAGAGATAATAATTAGAGTTGCATCTACATTCATGGCCAGCTATTACGAACTACTTCACTCCCTTTATTCAGTCTGTGTTTATAACTCATTATGTAAAGCTAACATAAGTTAGCTTAGCGTCTGCGTTAGCTGTGTCAATATGCTGGCCTTTCAGTAGAAGAGAACAGAGTTTAAAATATTAGTTGCTGATTATCTAGTAGTGCTGTTTGTCTGTGAGTAGTGTGTCCATTTGATTCCACACTGGGCTGCTGCTGCTGCTTCAGAGTCTTTCTATCCACATGGACGGAGGAGACAGAAGCTCACAGTGGCCGAGTGATGTTACAGGGGAGAACACTTCATACAGAACAGCTGGAGGCAGCAAAGCGTTCCAGCATTTGGAGGAAAAACACTGTGGAAACTGATGCTTCACACTGACATCCTGGAATGATAATAGTATGACTTACAGGAAAATGTAAGAGTTATTTAGAAAAAAAAAATATTTCATAAGTATAACAAATGCTTATTCTGCTTGTTGTGTTGTGCCCTGTATTGCTATGCTAATCACAGTCATATCAGCCATCTTTAGATGATTGTGTGCAGATCTTTTTTTCCTGAGTGCATGTTTTGTATAAAATAATGAAGTTTTGTACTTTGTGTGCAGATTCTTTAACGTGGACGAGATACTGAAATACTGAAGCAGTCTGCAGGCCTAGGTGCTTGGTTTTATACACCTGTGGCCATGGAAGTGATTAGAACACCTGAATCCAATGATTTGGATGGGTGAGTGAATACTTTTGGCAATACAGTGTATGAAAACAAATAATGTAAAGAGCCCTGTCATGTTTCTCTTACCTAAAGGAAAAAACACTGAGAGGTTTACTGTGGTGACTGAGGTTTGCTGTAGTAAAAATCCATCACATCCACGACAGTGTTCTAAACTTAATTGACTTGGAAAGTATTTAAAGGTAATCTTAAGGGAAAATTTGACTTAAGGTGTTTTATGCAGCTGGGCATAGTCTTATAATCAATGTTCTAGTTCCCATGTGTCAAACACAAGGGTTGCGGGCCAGATCAGGCCCCCCACAATCCTAACAGGCACGCAAAAGTATTTTAATTTTCTATTAATATTAGCCTGTTTCACAATGCACTGCACTACAGTCCCCAGCATGCACTGCAACGTAATGTGCACTCCAACTCTCCCACCCCAACAACAGTCTATGGGACAGCGGTTACACCTCAGCACCAGTTCACAAAACACCAGCTTTATTTAGATTACCTGACTGAAAATTGCAAGTTTCTACAAAGTAAACTTTGCTGATATACAGCAAAATACTTACACAAAACTTCACTTGGCCTGGTTTTAAACATGTTAAACAGCCATTAACACATAAGGTTAGCATTTGTAATAAATGAATCCAGACTGGTTGCAAAGCAGATTCAAATTCAAAACTCCCACCTCCAAGCTTTAGCTATCAGGTTTCTGTTTTGTTTTGATAGCTAGTTGAATTTAAAATGGAGCCCAAATTAGCATTTATCTTAATAAATTATTTTAAATTCAAACACATTTTGGGTGTATTTTAAGCAATTAATTGCTTTCTCATTTCTTTTTAGGCAAGCCTGTGTGGTTGGGGTCATCTGAGGGCGGGTAAGCCCACCCATGCCCCCCCCTTGGCGCCAGGCCTGTATCTGCCGTTAACAGATGGTCACAATTATCCCTCTCAATGGCTGGCAGAGTCCAAACTGTAAAGATCAATTTATTCCCAGATTTCTGCTTCTTTTTCAGTGTCTTCCCTTTTCCTACTCTAATCCTTTTTCATATTACTCAATAAGTGTATTTATTACTCAATAGGTTAAGTTTATTTAACTTTTCTATGGATGGAAAACAGCTCAGGATAAAGAAGCCTACCATTCAGTGGGATATGTGGAGTGGAGGACTGGGACTGCCAGTTTTTTTCATACTGACCTTCAAAATATTTTGGACTGGTGTGGAATGGAAAGCTTGTGTTAAGGGACATCCATCCAAGCTCTGTTCAGCACTCCTTTAGGTGTACTTCAAATCCAATCATCTTCTCAGCACTAAAAATATGGATTCAGCTTTTGCTCTTTGGACAAAAATGAGTATCACTTCATACATCTATTTACTTGTGACACATTCATCATCTGTCAGAAACTGTCCTCGAAACAGAATCTACCACAAGATACTTCCAAATTCATAGTTCTGTAAAACAGCACTGCTTCAACTTTCCACTAGTCCCCCTTAAGAACCTTGACACTTACATAATAGTATCATCTGGATGCTCCTCATGTCTCACCAAAGAAAAGACAGTGATAGAGCTTGTGATCGCTTTTCTGGATGTCCAGCTAGCAGAGAACATTCTAACAGCTTTGGTTGACATTACCTACAAGTTCTAATAATATTTAAAAAAAACCTTTTAATCTAATGTTCAAAGAATATTTTAACGATGTTTATTATTTCAAATAATGTTCCTCTACAGTGAAACATTTACTAAGATAGAAGGTTTTAACTGCAATATTCAGATGATGTTGTGAGTGATGCTGTCAGGGCTGCAGATTATGTTACATGACATGTTTTTAAAATATAAATAAAATATAAAATATAATGTAATCTGTGATACAAATACAATTAGATTTTTGCATAACTTACTGATAAAATAATTGTCTGTCACATTTACTTGATAAAAAGTAACAACATTTAAACCTTTAGAGAGGCAAAGACTGAAAGCTGGTGAGTTGTTTTTGTTCAGCATTGATAATTTGTTGTTATCTCTCTGCTGAACTGGTCAACCTACTATAATAAGAGCAAAATACAGCCAATTTACAGAAAATATAGAATATAGACCAGTTACGAAGTGTTAAACACAGTAACTCTAATGGTCGTCCAACACAGCACAGTTATAAAGATGCTAGAAATCACAGGCTTGTTAAAGTTATGTTGGTTGGAAGAGATACAGGTTTTTAATCTTTTATATTATAAGCTCTGATTTTTTTGTGCTTTGGCTGACTAGCGAGCCGGTTTTTCCTACAGGAGACTTTTTGCCACTTCAGAGTTCAAATGTTTAATAAAGACCTCAGATGAACCGTCATTATATTCCGAATCTATGAAGTGTCTAATATGACAAAAAACATGGAAGAAAATGAAAGTATGTTTGAATGAAGGTTTGTCTAGAAGAGTGAGATTCAGCCCACCCTCAATTTTGTCATGCCCACCCAAACAGCAGTCCTGGTGTGGCACAGCCAAATCTGTAGCACAGATTCCTCACCTGACTGTACATGATTTCAAAGCTAACAGATATACAGTGGAAGCAGGTCAGAATAGCCTGTTTTAGCTTGTAAGTAAAACAGAACTGCATTCATTTTGCAGGATAAACTCTGTAGTCATGACCGCTGCTCTTGTTATCGATCACGCTTAGTTTACCGATCAAGTCGGATATTTACCTGTAGGTTTTCCTTCAGTTCTCATCCATTCTGCGTTATTAAGTTCAGCAAGGTTTTGTAGTCACACTCTGGATTTGATCCACTGAGTTAACAAAACAAACAAATCCTTTGTGAGCTAACCAGACTTTCCTGACTTAGACTTGTGCTTTAAGTCAGGATTGTATGTGTTCTGTGCGCTTTGATGGGTTTAATGTGATCTTCTGAGTACTACATAACTCCTCCTGGGTCTTCGATTTAGAAAATGGGTACATTTTCACCTGCGATCTCTGACTTACAATTTCCTCACATACAGCTGTAGATCCCATGTAGGCTGTATTATAGTGATTTTTACAGATTTTTATTTTTCAATATCTAACAAGCCTTTTCTCTTTTCCAAAACTCTTCACACAGTTAGCACAACAACACTCTGTTTGGATCAAACCATTTTTCCTTGACTGCACATGATATGCATACAGTAATCAGTTTTCAAAATTCTTTAGTTCACTTCTCACTCAGTCTCGGTCTTTAGCAAAACTGCATTTCTGTATCTCAATCTGCAGATTCTCACATTCACTCCTACAAAACCTTTACACTTATACACTACAGACTGCGGAGCCCCAGAGAAGACAGGGGTAAAATAATTAATAAATAATTTGAGTGAACATTTTGCAATTCGAATGCATGTTCATGTTTCTTAATCTGTTCTCTCATTTTCTTTGAATCTTTGAATTTCTTTTTAATTGTGTACTTTTTTATTCCTGCACTAACAAACATAATAAATGTAGTGGATAAAGGATGTTTTATTTGTCCTGTGCAGAAGTAGCTAACAGCTCTCTGAGACAGAGAAGAAGACACAGAGCAGCTGCTCATCACTGTTTCTGCTGCAGTTTTGGCATCAAACAGTTACAGGAAGAAATGTTCGGCGTCAACATTTCAACACCTTTAAATTAAACACACACAGAAATTCTCATGTGGTTTGAGGTCAAATGCTGAGAGAGTTTAAAAGATTTTTTTGGACAAACCTAATGAGAACATCTCTGTACATTAGCACATCAATCTAGCTCATTAAACCCGTCAGAGAGTTTCAGAAAGCTGTTAGCTTCTTCTGTACAGAACAAATAAAACACTCTGTATCGACTACTTTATTTTGTTTGGACACAAATGAAAAATACATGCACACAATTAAAAAGCAAACATACGCACGATTCAATAAAAAAAACGAGAGAATAAATTGTTAATAATGGCCACAAGTAAAAGATAATGTACCCACAAATTAAAGAAATCATGACCATGGATAAAAGAAAGCGTTTTTTACTCAAGGAGAAGTGAAGAAGTACATGCTTTTAAATGTACTTAAAGTAAAAAAGTTAAAGTATTTCTTTAAAAATAATATCTAATTAAATTTTTTAAACAGGATTTTTTTTTTTTATTGAGAGTTAGAGGTTCACATCCATCACACTGAGCCTACTTAACAATTAAGACACAAACTGCAGGCATCACCCATAAAAATCCACTGATCTAGAGCCCCAAACACCTTAACATGTTTAATTTTCTTTACAAGAATTAAAGATGGACATTGTTGAAATCGCTATTAAGAAAAACAATGTAGCTTATTATTTCAGCTGTCAATACTGAACATCAGATTAAATAATTCCTTTAAGTAAGACCAGGACTGGAGTGGGATTTGTTTTCAGACCCAGAGTAACACACACACACACACAACATGCTAATGTCCTGCAATGTCATTACTTTATCATAGGCTGTTCTTGCAGTCGTCACTCTACATATTCCAACACTTCCACCCTGACACAAACAATAGCAGCCAATCAGAAAGCTGGATTCACACAAACAACCAACTCTGCAGCTCCTTCTCTATAAAGCACATGTACTCAACACAACTTCTGTCCAGAGAAGATGGCAAAACTAAGTTTAAATCAGACTTAAACCAAGATAAACAAACTTGTGCAAAAACAGCACAGCAATCTGAAACACCTAAACCTAATCATTGTAGGCTAAAGCGTACTGCCATGGAGGGCATGAAACATGTTCATTGGTCTATTTATGTCTTATCTCTAATGACTCAATGCATTGAAATTACGTCTGAAATAACTAATGATCAATTAAGGTGGAACAGGAAATGAAGCAGCTTCAGATGTATCTAGTCTCTGTCCGGTACGAGTCTCACTTACAGTCAGTGAACCAGGGCTGTATCACTGAGATGGAGCTGCTGGTTTAACCGCTAAATTACTACATATATATGCCTGGATGACATTCACAGTTTGAGCGTTCTTGTGCTGTGAGATTATTCTTTAGCTTTGTCAGACTTATTGACCATATTAA